CTCATTGAAAAATACATGACAGTATACTCATACTTCGGTAAAGTGACTTCTTCCGCAACTCAAGTAAGGGAATAGTGAAACCATTTGTGATGGACTTATTTCCTTACTGTTATTCAAATACTCATTGCTGTTTCCTGGTACATCTTATAAGAATTATAATAGCTTTTTATAGATTAACATTTTTAATTAAACTATTAAGTTATTATATTCTTGTCTTTGAAACAATGAAATATTAATGATAAACAGAAAAATTCCTACATTATAATTGAGCTTATCTTCCTTTACAGATTTATTATACATGCTTGTTTGTTGAAATTTATTTATTTTTGACAAAGTATTTATAACCTTTAAAGTACTTTAAATAAGAAAAAAATGGATCTCTGATCGTTTAAAAAAGTAGCCAAAGATTACTAGATATTTATGTTTTCCTTTGCCTTTGTTTGCACCATTATTCATGTGTTTATCAGATATCCCATAGTGATACAATGTTATAAATTCAATACTAGAGACATTTGAATGAATTTTATACTTTAATTATTAAAATAATTTTCTACATTTTAAACTTCACTGTTAGCGAGTTAATAAAAAGTTATGGATGTTTTAAGATCTTTTTGAACAAATGAGATGAATGAACATATACCTGTACATCGGAGAAATAGTTTTAAACAACAATTATAGAACACGTTTTTCGACCAAATAACCATTCTTCCAGATGAGCCCTGCACCATTTGGAAAATTCAAGTGGTCTAACTGACCAGTTGCCTGTAAAATTAGGTGGTCCTTGCCAAAATCAGGTGGTCTCGGACCAATGGACCACCGCTAATGTCCAAGCCTGGTTGTTGCCCTTGACTCAGTAAACATTTGCAATTTTTAGCTCGACTATACAAAGTATATGGAGAGCTGTCCTACTCGCCCCGGCGTCCGCGTCAAGATTTCAGATTAAAGTTTTGGTGCAGTAAAATATTTTTCACTATAACTTTGTCATTTCTTAAGGTATCAACTTCAAACTTCAAATATATGTTCCTTATCATCAACCACATCTTATGTGACAAGGTTCATAACTCTAGCACCAATATTTTCAGATTTATCTCCCCTTGAACTTAGAATTTTCCTTAAAAAAATATTATTTTTTACTGTAACTTATTTATTTCTAAAGGGATCAACTTCATACTTTAAATATATGTACCTTATCATCATCCATATCCTATGTGACAAGGTTCAAAACTCTAGCACCAATATTATAAGAATTATCTCCCCATAAACTTAGATTTTTTCACTAGAAAAATGTTATTTTTTACTATAACTTTTTTAGATTTAAAGGTATCTACTTCAAACTTCACATACTTATTCCTTATCATCAATTACATTTTATGTGACAATGTTTATAACTCTTGAAGCAATTTTTACAGATTTATCTCTCTTTGAACTTAGGATTTTCTTTAAGAAATATTATAACTTCTTTACTTTTTAAGGTATCTACTTCAAACTTCAAATATATATTTCTTATCATAACACACATGTTGTGTGACAACGTTCATAACTCTAGTGTGACTATTTCTAGAATTATTTCCCTTGATCTTGGAATTTATGCTAACATATGTTATTTTTTTACTATAACTTAATACATATTAATACATAATTGAGATTTCTTTCATAGTTTTGTCCTCCTTACTGCGTCCGGTATTTTATAAGTCGAGCTTGGCTGTCTCCTGTGACAGCTCTTGTTAACTTGAGCGGCTCATAGCTCAAAAAGTGTTTGACATAGGGTCATGAAACTTCACAGGAATGTTGATCAGCATGTGAAGTTGTGCACCTGATTTTTCACTTGTAGATTTATCTAGTATTTCTAGAGTTATTGCCCTTGTACATCCATCCCTTAGTCTGTTCTCTTTTTGTGTCATGTGTACCTCAAAAAGTATTTGACCCAGAGCCATGAAATTTTACAGGAATGTAGCTCAGCATGTGAAGATGTGCCCATGTGATTATTCTGTTTTGTCAAATTTATTGTCTTTCACTTTGTAAAAATTTGCAATTTTCAACTTGTGTCACACAGCTCAAGAAGTGTTTGACCTAGGGTTATAAAATTAACAGGAATGTTGCTCAGCATGTGAAGTAGTGCACCTGGCATTTCGCTTGTGGATTTATCTAGTAATTCTAGAGTTATTGCCCTTGATCTAGTGAAAATTTGCAATTTTCAACTTGTGTCACACAGCTCAAGAAGTGTTTGACCAAGGGTTATAAAACTTTACAGGAATGTTGTTGATCAGCATGTGTAGTTGTGCACCTGGCATTTTGCTTGTGGATTTATCTAGTATTTCTAGAGTTATTGCCCTTGACCTAGTGAAAAATTGCAATTTTCAACTTGGGTCATATATAGCTAAAAAGTATTTGACCTAAGTTATGAAACCTTACAGACATGCTGGTTGACATGTGTAGTTGTGCACCATTGGGGGTTTGATTGTGGATTTATTCAGTATTTGAGGAGTAATTGCCCTTGTCATTTCATTATGTTGTGTTATGTGTTCCTTGATTGCTTGAATTAGAATCAACCAACTTTACAGGAATAATGATCAACATCGTAACTTGTGTGATGGTTTGAATATTGTTGCATAAGAATAGATTTTTAGGTGAGTGAGTGTATTAAAAATAGTTTTGAAGTAATCTATGAATTTGTGTGGGAACTTCCTGCATGCCAGTATAGATATTCAATAATTATGGGGCTATAAAATTTAGTCATTATACCATTCAAGAATATCATGATTTGAGCCGCGTCACGACAAAACCAACATAATGGGTTTGCGACCAGCATGGATCCAGACCAGCCTGCGCATCAGCGCAGTCTGATCAGGATCCATGCTGTTCGCTATCAGTTATTCGCCTTGTAAAAGGGTTGGTAAGCAAACAGCATGGATCCTGATCAGACTGTGGGGATGCGCAGGCTGGTCTGGATCCATGCTGGTCGCAAACCCATTATGTTGGTTTTGTCGTGGTGCGGCTCATTTATTGATTGTACATTTGCATTGATTATATTCTATAAAATTCAATCTGTTATGAAGAATTGTTATGAAGAATTTTTACTATATAAATAAACTTTAAACTGTATCCCTAAACACAAGAACCTGTCAAGAGTCTGATTAAATCATTTCATTTTAAACACAATACATATACAAAATCGAAAGTCAGTGTATTTGTGTGTTTGTGTGTTTTCCTAAGTGTATCTGAAGAAAAGCACTCATAGCTTATGACTAGTATGTTAAAACAAAATGAAATTGTAATTGGACTTATTAAAGAAAATCAAAGATTTTTATATTTGTCGTTATATACACAGATGTCATAACTGTTTTTAGCTTTTTTTTTATTTGAAAAAAATAAAAAAATAAAAAAAATAGAGGTATTATTAGGGTCATGATAGTGTTGCTGTTTATTTGTTTGCTTTTAGAAATCAAAGTGCTGCAGCACTGAATGCGACGGACATGCAACCGGGGAGACATTTAGGTTTTTTTTAGAAAAAAAAAAATAAAACACAAAATATATAACAGAGAAAATTTGTACCATACAAGGAGCAATATATTTTGTGTCCCAATCTGATATAATCCAGATTTTCTACTTTCAAGCAGAATGAAATATATGCCTAAAACCCTGGTCAAACTTGTAAATCAGTGTCATTATCGATTTATTCCAAGAAATGATATGTAAATGGAAAAAAAACTTTCAACGAAATATTTCTAAAATAAAACCATGCAAATAGACTTCAAGCATAATACATTATACCACGGATAAATCCGTGATTATACATGTGAGAATGTTATTTAGAATTGCTTCGTGTTTTAACATAGTGGACATATAGACAATAAAATATAAGTCATTTGTATTTTTATTTCTTTTGGATATGTACGTCTCATTAAAAATATTTTTGGTTAAAATCATCAGCAATTAATAGTCACCGTATTTTTTAGATTTTTTTATTTGCAAGGGCCAGAGCACATCGTTTTTATTTTAATCTAAATGTCACAATTTTTTTTTAAAAGCACTACAGTGTTTAGTTGTTCTTTTCATTTTCACACTAAATTACATTTTCAACTTGTTTGCTTCTTACAATTGTATAGAATTTCTAAAAGTATTGCATGTGAACAAAGTAAGTATCCGCTGGTTTATAACATGTATAATGTGTACTCCCTACTGTCCGAAAATCAGCACAGGTAAAGCAGAATCTATTTTTAGAATAGCGAAGGTTAACTCGTATCGTGACCTAGAAAATGTATCTAATTTATTAATAACTGCTGAATATTCAGCTAAACCCGCGGTATGAGTCACGAAAATAGTTCTTCTTTTATTAATGCGTGAGTTATTCTAGAGTCCAAAAAACTTTTGATTTGTTAATAATAATGTTTTGTATAATGTAGAAATATTTATTTCTTACTAATAATTTCTTGGAACTCAGAGCTTACACCTTTATTATAGTATAATTTGCTGTCCTACTTTTTCGACAGCGGTAAATCGTTTCGGCAGTAATTTGCATAATTGCGCAATAATACTACGGGACTACAACGTTTTTATCAATCATATACGTCCATATTTTAACTTGGATAACTTAATTTGAAATTGAAAAGGCTAAATATGGAAGATTTTAAGATATCCCGACATAGTATGGGAGTTTTAAAGGATCAAATTGATGTACTTTTTCTTGGGCTGTTAATCGGTTGAGGACACTTTGCGCGAGTGTAGCAGACGAAATCCCATGTAGATGACTTAGCTCTGAACGCGCCTGAGGGCGCGTCCGTCGCAAAAAAGTAAAATGGCTACTGCCACTCATGAAGTATTTATTTTCATACCACTTGATAAAAAGTAAATCGTGTATTTATAGAAAAAAACTTGCATATCCTATATGTTGTGCTCAATTTGTTGCGATTGATAACAAATTTATATAAACCCTGAAAAAAGTTAATTTTAAAAATTTATTTGTATATTTATGATATTGACCGGACCGCATCAAATTTCAGCACATAAGTCACAAGAGGTTACGAGAAGCGAGGGACGCAGCAGTAGAGAATGGTACAGAAATTTCACCAGATGATTACTTTGTACCGTTTATACATGCGAGAATACTCAACTATGGAACAGCTGTACCGTTAAAAAGCTTAAAGGCAAATTATTACGGTAAGTGATTTTTTCCTCTATTTTTTTTTTTCTATCCCGAAAGAGCCCACGTATTTAAAAGTATGAAAAATCGCAGTTAGACATCAGTATGAACATTTGGAAAGTGTAGCAAGAACTTTTGAGCCATACGCTGATGTTTAATATAATAATAAACATTTAAATGTTGCTTTTAAATGAAAATCTTATTGCTGGTTTTGGGGAAATCATTCCAGTATTGTTGAATGGAGGTCAAGCAATATATATATAACATAAACTTTCTTTTACAACTCGGCTTCATTAAAATGTTTGACACTGAAAGCAGGGCCGGCAAAATCTGATTTTAAATTAATTGTCTGTTTTTATGATTCATTTATGTAGTAAAGTATTGAAAATCACCACTTTATTGTACAGGCTGTGAGACAACCTGCGCAATACGGACAATTGGTTTTGCCGTCCCTGGAAAGGATGCCAAAAACTTGAGGCTCAAGATTCCTTTGTGGTCAAATTTTTTTAACAGACAAAAATGTACAACAAAGCTTTTGTTGATAATTTTATAGAATTTATGTAAACAAAGGTTGGTTTGTAAATTTAGCTGGCAATATCCGGTTATCTGCCCCCCGGGGCAGAAACATTCTTAACTGTATTTTTATGACAGTCGTGTGGTCAGCCCTACTGATCTGGATCATTCAGGCGCTTGAAACATATCACACGTACCCGCATGCGCAAAAAAATAAAATATTTACCTACCATGCGCTTGCGTAGTTAGCCTGTGAAAGAACAATCATCTAGCAAGGGGTTCATAACGGGTTTTTACATAATAAATATCCTCTACGGAATGAACTCCTACATTTAGACAGCTAAAATCACTTCAGTATATCATTCATTCCGTAAAAAATAACTGACGGAATGAAGTTATACATTGATACTGCTTATATCATTTCATTATATCGTCATTCCGTATTAAAATAGCCAACAGAATTAACTTATACAGTGATACTGCTCATATAATTTCATCATACCGTTTTAAAATAGCAGACGGAATGAACTTGTACATATATACTTTTAACATCGTTCATTCCGTATTATATAGCCTAATACTCCGGTTATCAGTCCCGGGCAGATACGTACTAGGCATTCATAATGTTACTTTAATGTCAGTAAAAAATCATTCCTTTTATGTTTATTAAGACAGTACCCCCAAAACATTGCCAAGCCCCATTTTTGAAAGCATTATGGCCCCCGAAGAAAACCCTCTTCCCGGAGAATACTTCCCCTTAAGTAGCATTTAATTATTGTTAGTAATTTATTTCGTCGCTATATATATACTCCGGTTATCAGTCCCGGGGCAGATACGTACTAGGCTTTCATAATGTTACTTTAATGTCAGTAAAAATAAATTCATTCCTTTTATAAATGCTTATTAAGACACTTCCCCCAAAACATTGCCAAGCCCCATTTTTTAAAGCATGATGGCCCCCGAAGAAAACCCTCTTCCCGGGGAATACTTCCCCTTTAGTAGCATTTAATTATTGTCAGTAAATTATTTCGTCGCTATATATATACTCCGGTTATCAGTCCCGGGGCAGATACGTACTAGGCTTTCATAATGTTACTTTAATGTCAGTAAAAATAAATTCATTCCTTTTATAAATGCTTATTAAGACACTTCCCCCAAAACATTGCCAAGCCCCATTTTTAAAGCATGATGGCCCCCGAAGAAAACCCTCTTCCCGGGGAATACTTCCCCTTTAGTACCATTTAATTATTGTCAGTAAATTATTTCGTCGCTATATATATACTCCGGTTATCAGTCCCGGGCAGATACGTACTAGGCTTTCATAATGTTACTTTTAATGTCAGTAAAAATAAATTCATTCCTTTTATAAATGCTTATTAAGACACTTCCCCCAAAACATTGCCAAGCCCCATTTTTTAAAGCATGATGGCCCCCGAAGAAAACCCTCTTCCCGGGAAAACTTTCCCTTTAGTAGCATTTAAATATTGTCAGTAAATTATTTTCGTCGCTATATATATACTCCGGTTATTCAGTCCCGGGGCAGATACGTACTAGGCTTTCATAATGTTACTTTAATGTCAGTAAAAATAAATTCATTCCTTTTATAAATGCTTATTAAGACACTTCCCCCAAAACATTGCCAAGCCCCATTTTTAAAGCATGATGGCCCCCGAAGAAAACCCTCTTCCCGGGGAATACTTCCCCTTTAGTACCATTTAATTATTGTCAGTAAATTATTTCGTCGCTATATATATACTCCGGTTATCAGTCCCGGGGCAGATACGTACTAGGCTTTCATAATGTTACTTTAATGTCAGTAAAAATAAATTCATTCCTTTTATAAATGCTTATTAAGACACTTCCCCCAAAACATTGCCAAGCCCCATTTTTTAAAGCATGATGGCCCCCGAAGAAAACCCTCTTCCCGGGGAAAACTTTCCCTTTAGTAGCATTTAAATATTGTTAGTAAATTATTTCGTCGCTATATATATACTCCGGTTATCAGTCCCGGGGCAGATACGTACTAGGCTTTCATACAAGTAATAGCCTTGCATACCTAACTGTCTATACTGCTGTATAGTCACGTAAAAATGAATTTATCAGTAATTTAAGTTACACGGATGACTAAACGTTCAATGACAATTTCATGATTTTTTTCCACTTAAAAATAAAGCCAAAGAAAATTATATTAAATATGAAACATTTTGCAAGTGTTAATGAAAACAGTACTGAAAAGATTTTATTTTATACTGAATGAATATTTCAAGATATGTAATGTACACATGTACTGACATGCTTAAATTTATGGAAAATAAATCATGCAGGAAACCGCGAAATTTATAGTAAGAATTAATGCCCTTCCTTGGGAGTAACCTCAACCAATGAAATTCAAGGAAAAAACAAGCGTCCACGAGATCATGATTTTTGGATGAACTAATCTGTCCCGGGGGGCAGATAACCGGATATTGCCATTTAGCTTCAGTTTAGTGTTTGCAACTTGAGTCGACTAAAAATGTACTTTCTGCTAAAAATTGAGCGTCAAGACAAAACCAACATAGTGGGTTTGCGACCAGCATGGATCCAGACCAGCCTGCGCATCTGTGCAGTCTGATCAGGATCCATGCTGTTCGCTATCAGTTTCTCTACTTGTAATAGAGTCGTAAGCGAACAGCATGGATCCTGATCAGACTGCACGTCGCCAACGCATTATGTTGGTTTTGTCATGACGCGGCTCACATCTGAAACATTGATTTACAGGCAAATTTGTATCGGTGAAAGGAACTGTGGTAAGGGTCAGTAATATCAAACCTCTGTGTACAATCCTGGCCTTTGAATGCAACAACTGTTCCACCATTCAGGTATGTTGAAACTTTCACTATTTCTGATGTTGTCACAATTTAATGCAGCAATTTTGCAACCTATGACTTTTAGTTTAAATTTTGTTCCACTCCTATGACTTATAGATGCTACCGTTTTTTCTGTCCCTTTTGAATTGAATATGTTTAAGAATATCAAGGATTCCTTCCTCTGACATTAAAGGCAGTGATTTTTGTTGTTGTTTGGGTGGGTGGGGCATTTTTCAAAACAACCTGTGGCTTTCTGAAGGAGAAAAATACAGCACGGGAAAACTAAAATCAAACACCAACAACTTAGAATGTAACATAGTTCATACATTTAGTCAAATTTATCATTTCAAATTTAATTGTTTTTTTTCCATTAGAGATGTTTATTTGGTCATTTAACTTTTTATACTGCAGTTACAAAACTTTTTATGTTCAAGGGGAAGACAACCACTCTATTTTAGTGGAAAATAGATATGTTAAATATGCAGGAAATAAAAACACCAGTATAAAACCATGTTTTTGCTCATTAATATGTGTTTCAATTTCAGACTTTAAATTTACCAGATGGGAAATATATCCTACCTACCTCTGTGAGTATATGTATTTTTTTCTCTTTCTTATGAACTGGAAACTTGCAGTATTTAACTTGTCTTAGATTCATGTTAGAAGGAATGGATAGCAAAAGATTATTCTGTACAATAATACTACAGGGCTTTTTTTTCACAGGTTGGTGAAGCAGCCCTGCCCTTAATTTTTGGGGAAAATTACACAATATCATTTGCCAAAAAAAAAATATATGTATGTGTATTTAAAAATATATATATTTTTATGGGGGAAATTTCAATTATTGGGGGAACACCCTTTGCAAAATGCCCATTTTATTTAATGAAAATATTTCTTTGGGGAAAGCAAAAATTTAAACAGACCCCGGTTGCTATATAAGAAGGGAAAAAACGCCCTGTTCTGGCCTAGGGGTGTAAAAAATAGGTTGTCTTACCTTTTTAAATACCGTGGGAAAATGGTTTTAAACCCGCTGGGGTCAAGACATTGTCTTAGGAGTGTTTGTGGCAGAGTGGTAAAGGTCTTTTGACTTCAAACCACTTGCCCCCTCACCACTATGGGTTCAAATCCTCCTGCCAGTGTCTTGGATTATTTCATGTGAGGAAGCTATCCATCTAGCCTATGAAATGGTGGTGGTACTTCTCAGGTGCCTATTCCTGTATCAAGTACTGCACTGAGGTCTTGCTTCACCAGTGAAACTGGAAAATCGCCATATAGCTTTTACAGTACTGGTGCAGCATCAAAACCCAATAAAGAACAGATAAGACGATGTTTCCTCATGTGACATCAGTACTGTTGTGCACCAGGAATCAGACTTGAAAGTACTTCTTTTTTAGCTCGACTATTCACAGAATACTCAAGTTAATGCAGTCACTCATTTGTCACTTATTCATATAGGTAAGCATTATTATACACAATAAAACACCCTTTGTGACAACTTTTTCGAATTGTTGAGTTGAGTCCTCTGACAGCTGACCTCTTCAAATTAGAAATGCTTGGTTAAGTTTTTGTGTGTAAGCTGGTATCTCCATAACAACTGAAGGGTTTGTGTCTTTTTTGTGACAATTTTATGCCTTCATAATAATCAAACACTGATTTACTCCATAAAACATCTTAATAACAAGCCTTTGTACCTTTTTGGGACAATTTTATGCATTCATATAAGTTAGCATTATTAAACTCAATGAAACACATTTTGTGACAGCTCTTTCGAATTGTCGAGCGCCGCTGTCCTCCAACAGCTCTTCTTCAACTTAGAAATGCTTGGTGAAGTTTTTGGGTGTAAGCTCAGGTATCTCCATAACAACTGAAGGGTTTGTGCCTTTTTTTGTGACAATTTTATCCATTCATAATATTCAATCAGTGATTTACTCCATAAAACTTAATAACAAGCATTTTTACCTTTTTAGGACAATTTTATGTATTCATAAACATAATTATACTTAATGAAACACCCTTTGTGACAGCTCTTTTGAATTGTCAAGCGTTGCTGTCCTCTGACAGCTCTTGTTTTATAATCAAGCTATAATAAATAGTGTTTAAATTAAGACAGTGTGATTTCAGTGCTCCTCGTCTGACTGCAGAGGAAAGGTTTTTCAACCACAGCGCAGTTCGAGCCTCACTGAAACTATTGACTGGCAGACTATAAGGTAATGCAATTCAAAGTATTACTCTATCAAATCTATATATTGTTAAAAATTGGTATTAAAAATAAAGATTTGAAGCTTGAACACAATGAATAAGAAAGACTTGGCATTGATTAATCTAGTAGAAATTCCATATAACGTGTCCGACGTTTTAGATTTGTATGCATATTTTACGTAGGACGCACATCTAGATTAATGACCATCTGGTATTTAGGTTACGAAAAAAAATGCATTATAAAAACGAAGTGAACTGTAAATCTAGTTTAATTTATTCTTAGCCGCTCGTAGACATGAATACCTAACTTGGCTCCTCCTGTTTTCATTCACCCAAGGGCCCTGGGGAAAAAGAGATACCCCGGGCCCAGGGTTCTGGCTGTTTAAATCCCGTGATCATTTAATATGGGTGTGACCCCTGTATAATCGTATATGACACCAGTAAGATAGTTTGTAGAAAGGTTTTTTAAACCAAAAATTTTCAAGAAAATTTTTTTTTTTATTATTAAAGAATTTCAGGGCTTTAAACAGCTCTCCTTTTAAGGGCCAAAATTAAATTTCAAAATTTAATGAGTGTTCGTTGAAAAAAGTTTTTTTTTAAAACCCTTTTTTATTTGGGTTTTTTGTATACAATTTTATTTTTGGGAGATTACAGGAAAAAATGGGTGAAGAATTCCCAAAAAGCTGGACGGATAAACCCAAGGGGCGATAGATTTTGAAAATTAAAAGGGATGGGTTTAGGTGGGGTTTTTTCCCGGGGGTTTTAAATCATGAAAATTCTGCCAAAAATACTGTAACCCCATCAGTGATGTTTACTTTTAAGTATTTAGTAGTCAAAGTAAATAAAATTTGAGAAAAACGTCATGCTTGCTATAAGGTCAACTATTGCTTTAAAACGTAAGAAAATATCGCTTCTTTTTTATTACATTGACAAGAATCTTAAGTTTCTGAAGAAATTAGGTTCCCATTATTTTTACCTTGATCACCGTGTATTGTTTTCAGTGGACAGTTGTGTACCAGGGGACATTGTCACAGTGTCTGGTGTGGTCAAAGTCAACAGTGTAGACGAAGGTAAGGGCTATAGGTTACCTTTCATTTAAATTGGTTAAGTTCTTTTTCTGGTTACTCGAGCAGATTTTTGTGCCTCTTTTCTAAGGTAATGAGAACAAACGTGGGTACTTTTTTTACTGACATCTCATGTGTTATCTCAAAAGAGTATTTTTTTAAAAAAGCAACTTTTCTCCTTGTTTATAGCGATGTTAAACAATTATATTCCTTATTGAAAATATTCCAAAAAAATGTTTATGCCGCTTTCCGGTGGATCAAATACCTTAACAGTTAAAATGGAGCATGCGCAGTTCGTGTCACTATTTTTGTGACCAGATTTTCATTTACAACAGCAGAAATTAATAAACAGAAAATAAAAACTGAATAAAAAAACAACAAAACTATGTTTATTTGTTGAAGTATTTACCTTAAAAGAATAACTGCCCATAATTCTTTGTCATACATTTATTACATATAAATACATATATTCTTATATTAGAAATAACTCCATGTTATCCTCTGTCATTTAGAGATAAACAATAAACTCTTTTAAGTGATTCACTGCCTTGCCTTTTGTGTTTCTGTTTTCAGGAAGAGGAAAGAACAAAGATAAATGTATGTTCTTATTGTATGTTCACGCAAACTCGGTAAATAATACAAAGGGGAATAAGTCAGGCAGTGAAGGGCTGGCGATGGATTTTACGATGAAGGAATTGTATGGAATTGAGATGATACACAGTGAAGAGAACCTGTTCCGACTGCTAGTCGGGTATATGTATATTTCATCGTTAAGTTGCTAGCACGAATAATGAGTAAGAAGACAGACGGACAGACGACCAAAATGGAATAAGGGGCCACGTTTTTTGCTATCTCCTTCTGTTTGATAGAGGGCCATTGCACGCTTATTCTATTGTTACAGAAAGCAAAGTCTATTCTCTTTTGTTCTGTTCACAGTTAGAAGCTTCCCCAATTATTTTCCGATAGTACTTGCCTGCATTACTATGCAGTATGACCAGATTGACTGTTGGCATGTCAATTTTCTTATTTTGATACCTAAATCCTACTCGACCGGTTAATCGTATAATTATTTAAGCAATACTGAATTACCTTTTTTCACCAGTGAGAGCCTGTCTTTGTTGCATATCAGTTCAGACTTTTATACTGTAATCTGCTCAATTGTCAAATGATAAAATTGATTCTAGGTTGTTGTTTGGAGGCGACTGTAGGCTAGAATTACTGTCTCAGATGCATTTTTTGGCCACCTCAGAACTTAGAAAAGGCTTTGTTGGGTGTGATAAATCTAAGAAATGACTGCCTCAATTACAAAATGGAGCGCCTTAGAAATTTTTAACGGCAATACTGTGATATTTTACTAATGACTTCCTTGCATACAAAAGATGAGTCCTTAAGTATAAAGGTTTATTCGCTCCCTGGTTTATTATAAAAGAGATGAAATTTTCACAAAGTAAGCTTTCATTTGAAATAGAATAAGATCATAATTATTTGAAGCATACCCCCTTTGTAGATGATGCATCAAAATTACAGCCACAGGTTATTCTTGCACCATCATATAAGGCGACTAAATGGGTTCAAGTTACTAAAGTCTCTGCATCTTTTAGCTCTAGCAGATGAGGTGGTTTTGACCTATGGTGTTGCTTACCTGGGGTTAGCCAAAATCACATTTCCATGCTCCATATGACTTGCATTGTGTAGGTGTGCGGTAAAACCAAGCAAACAAATTTGAAGCATAAGATATTTAAACTACATGACTTGTGTACCTGTTTAATTTCATTGAAGAAATTTAAAGAATATTTGTTGCTTGAGAATCAATATTGGATTGAAAATCAATTATTGTACCTTGTTTACTGAAATACTAAATGATTCTAAGTTATAAAATTTACTTGGTGTGCATAAAATGATTTCATGAATGTTAATTGAAATTCCCATTAACTACAATAAATTCTTCCAGGTTGAGAAGTACCTAAGCTTATTATCCAAGGTAAGATGAGATACCATTAAAGACTAAGTCTATGATTAATGTTATATTTTCAGATCATTGTGTCCTAGTATATACGGTCATGAGTTGGTAAAGGCTGGTCTAGTGCTTGGTTTATTTGGAGGTACCCAGAAATTTTCAAATGACAAGGTATATGATCATATGTTTTTTCATTATTTTGGGATTACCAACAGTGCTGGTGGTGTTACAGAAAATCTGTTGAATGTTGTCACTTTTTCAAACACCAAAAAAGAAAAAAAGGATAAGAAAATGAGACAAAAAACGCCAAAAACATCAAGTTACTTTTTTCGTAAACCAGAAAATATGATACCTTATACCTGTCTTGTAGGCAAATAGAGTGTACTGTTAGTAGCAATCCTGTTCTTCGTTCTTTTGCAGGATGGCCAATGGCCAAATTCTGCCTTGGCCAGTGTTTAAGAAAATGTTGTGTATGAGTTTATCATTGATGAGGTTACATTATCAATCCAGATATTTTGAAAATTTCCGTCAGAAAGGTTGTTTTATGTGCGTTATTTGGTGTAAAAAAACTAGGTCACACAGCCCAAGAAAAAAAGAAAAAACCGTGTTAACTCTTTTTGAGGGAGCTTTTTTAGCCTAACATAAATGTTACTAGATCATTTGTGATCACCTCAATATAACATTTGGTGGGCCACTAAATCCTAGTCAGCTGCAAGTCACTAAGGCCATTTAATTGAAAAAAAAAATCAAACATAAAACAAACAAAATACAAAACGAAAACCATCAGAAAAAAGTGACAATTCTATTTTCAGAACAGAATTCCTGTAAGAGGGGACCCACATCTGCTTATCGTAGGAGACCCCGGTCTAGGCAAGTCACAGGTCTGTATGAAAATATTTGTACAGTTAAACAAATATTATAAAACATTCTTGTATGCTTCACATTATACCCCCTATTAAACAGACACATTATTATGTGATTATTTGCACAGCATAAAAAAGGAATGATTTCCTCATTTCTGTCATATGACATCAGATGTGACATCACTAAATCAAATGGCATCAGGAAAATAAAGTCTCTGAACAATGAAGTTCAGCATTTTTTTTATCAATTCCCTTTCTTATAAGCATGTTAGAATGGAAATAAATATTAAAGCTGCAATTGTCTTCAGATGAGCCAAACTTGAAAGTATTCCAAGAAAATCAAATTTGAGAAAAATGTACTAAGATTTTAAGAAAAGTGAAACGACTTAAGATTCTAGTAATAATTAACAAGTTACAGTCTAACCCCGTTTATTCGAGGTGCCTTGGACTGAATATTTACTTCGAATAATCGATTGGTTCGAATAATCGTAATGGGAATATTCTGATAGACGAAAACTACTCCACTTTGACCAATCACCGCAAAACTACCGTTTACAACACACTTACTTCATGTAATCAATTGAAAAAAATAGATATGTATTTAAGAAAAGATGCGTAAAAATTATTGTATTGACATTGAAGACATAAATACTTGCATTTTATTCTACATTATGTATCGTTTCATTTCGCGCAAAGCCTTGATAATGGCCGTGTCGTCACTAGGGTATTTACAGCTAAACTCTGGTATTTTCGATTAGGATTAATTAAGGCTGTCATGTAGCGTTTCAATTAATGAAAAAAATGTTTTGACAAATTCACATATACGGAATGTATAAAAATTATTGCTGTCATCTTAAACAAAATCGGACACAGTGCATAGCTTTTCATTTTCGTTAATTAAAGTTGATTAAAGAACACACGAAGAGTTATTATCATGATTGTCTAGTTACACGCATGACTGTGAATATTTATCACAAGTCGACTGGTCAGCGAGTGGATCTGCGTCAATTAGTCTGGCTTCGAATAATAATTAGGCTGGCTTCGAATAATAGGTGTGAAATTCTTTCGTAATTGTATAATCGGGACCGAAATTTTACTTCGAAAAATAGGAAGTATTCGGATAATGCATTTCGAATAATACGCTCGTATTTATATTGTTTTATATAGAGATAAAAACGGGACCGGTGATCTACTTCGGATAATGCCGGGTATTCGAATAAAGGGTTGTCGAATAACCGGGGTCGGACTGTATATGCAGTTAATGACTGATTTTGCAGAATTTATCACCATATTTATACTGTGTGACTAAGGCAGTCATGGCTATTTTTGCATATTTTGAACTCCTTTTTGGTAATTTGTATGGATTGTACAGATTTCATAGCCTAATGGTTGTTTTAGAAAGATTTGTCACAATTAGTCTTAGAGTATCTACATAATTTAATATAAACAATGAATGGTGTACGTAAGCAGATATAAATAAGCAGAATAAAATATTCCGGAATGAAATATTTCACTCATGCCCCACTATCAATAATATATATATTTACAGTGATACTAATTTCTTTCATTCTATGTATTCTGTGATCATTGTAATCACAATATAAACAATTATTTTATAATCAACAGACAGCAAATATATAGCTTTACAAAATGTAATGATTTGAAGATATACAACATATTGACATCGTCTGAATAAAGGAAACTGTTCTTTTGCTTTCGCCATGTTTAAGACGGTGTTGGTTAGCAGATTCAGATATTTCTCTCCTCACCCAACTTCCCCCCCACCCCAACCCTCCCACTTCTCATGCATAACATTTCTTGTTTCAGATGATCAGATTCAGATATTTCTCTCCTCATTCAACACCCCAACCCTCCCACTCTCTCATGCATAACATTTCTTTGTTTCAGATGATCAGATTCAGATATTTCTCTCCTCATTCAACACCCCAACCCTCCCACTTCTCATGCATAACATTTCTTGTTTCAGATGATCAGATTCAGATATTTCTCTCCTCATTCAACACCCCAACCCTCCCACTTCTCATGCATAACATTTCTTGTTTCAGATGATCAGATTCAGATATTTCTCTCCTCATTCAACACCCCAACCCTCCCACTTCTCATGCGTAACATTTCTTATTTCAGATGATCAGATTCAGATATTTCTCTCCTCATTCAACACCCCAACCCTCCCACTTCTCATGCATAACATTTCTTATTTCAGATGATCAGATCAGATATTTCTCTCCTTATTCAACACCCCAACCCTCCCACTTCTCATGCATAACATTTCTTTATTTCAGATGATCAGATTCAGATATTTCTCTCCTCATTCAACACCCCAACCCTCCCACTTCTCATGCATAACATTTCTTATTTCAGATGATCAGATTCAGATATTTCTCTCCTCATTCAACACCCCAACCCTCCCACTTCTCATGCATAACATTTCTTATTTCAGATGATCAGATTCAGATATTTCTCTCCTCATTCAACACCCCAACCCTCCCACTTCTCATGCATAACATTTCTTATTTCAGATGATCAGATTCAGATATTTCTCTCCTCATTCAACACCACCCAACCCTCCCACTTCTCATGCATAACATTTCTTATTTCAGATGATCAGATTCAGATATTTCTCTCCTCATTCAACACCCCAACCCTCCCACTTCTCATGCATAACATTTCTTATTTCAGATGATCAGATTCAGATATTTCTCTCCTCATTCAACACCCCAACCCTCCCACTTCTCATGCATAACATTTCTTATTTCAGATGTTACAAGCTACAGCCAATGTTGCTCCAAGGAGTGTATATGTGTGTGGGAACACAACAACAACTTCTGGATTGACTGTAAATATGCCTCTGTAATGACATTTTATCTATACTAAACAAAGATTACCATTTGCAGCATTTTAGGGAGTGGGCGTCCTTTGATGAGTGGTTAAGTGTTTTGATTTCAAACGACTTGCCCCGCACTCTAGTGGGTTAGAATCCTGACAGGAACTTTGGATTCTTTCATGTGAGGAGCTATCCAGCTAGCTTTCAGAATTTCGGTGGTTCTACTTCGGTGCCTGTTAGTGCCTGAAATAATGTACGGAAGGGCCTCTGAGGTCTTCTTTTACCAGTAAAGCTGGAAAGTCACCTTGACCTATCCAGTGTAAGTGTGATGGAAAACCCAGTCAAAAATAAAACAGCATTTTAATTTAAAAAATTTTAATTTCAAAAAATTAATTCCCTGTTACTGTCATTTGTTTAACTGATGGTAAGTTGTTCTATTCTGTGATGAAACTTTTATTTGCTGTAAAGCTTTGGAATTAATGTATTATTTCTGTGGTATATAACAGGTGACATTATCTAAAGATGGCGGATCTGGGGACTATGCCCTAGAAGCTGGGGCGCTCGTTCTGGCCGACCAGGGATGCTGCTGTATTGATGAGTTTGATAAAATGTCAAACCAACATCAGGCCCTTCTAGAAGCTATGGTAAGTAAATTTTTACCTGTTAGCCTGCTTAACAGCAATCACAATACCATTTGCAAAACAACTTGGGGCATCCGTGGCTGAGTGGTTAAGGTCGTTGACTTCAAGCCACTTGCCCCTCACCGCTGTGGGTTCGAATCCAGACAGGGCCTTTGGATTCTTTCATGTAAGGAAGCTATGTAGCTAGCTTTTGAAACATCCGTGGTTCTACTCATGTGCCAGTTCGTGCCTGAAATAATGCACAGAAGGGCACCTGAGGACTACCAAATGACCATACTGTGTTGATGTGACTTAAAACACAAACAAACAAACAAAACAACAACTTGTCCCAAACCAAAAACCGAGTGGCTCTGTCTTATCAGGGCCCATTCTTACATCATTAATTTTTTATATTTCAAGAAAAATGAGATTCAAATGAAAATTTAGATGACAAGCATTTTTGCTGATTGGCTGATGATAATTTTCCTACCATGCAGAGGGTTAAATTGTGTAACTAAAGACAGCTTGTTTTATTTAAACTCCTTTGTAAAAGTAGATATGGAAACTTCCCTTTGTTTGAATTCAAAGCAGTGAATAGTGCATTAGTATTATATTGAGAAACAACATAAGTTTTGTGCTGAGTCGAGGCTTTTTCACAATTTAGTATTTTATTGTGCCAAGTCACAACTTAAGTACAGTGTGACTTTCAAATTCCGGATCTTCTAAAATCCAGAAACTTCTGAAATCCAAACATTTTTCAGGGTACTGGAATTTCTCCTGTTTTCTTTGTAATGAATACCTATGAATTCAGAACTTCTAAATTCTGAAGGTTTTGTTCTGGTAAAATTTGGGTTATATCAATTCAGATTTACTTTAAAAGTCCGGAAATTGAAAAAAGTGCGAAGGAATATTATAATTGAGATTGTAGAGCCTTCAAAATGTCAGTATCTTCCAATTTAGTAATAAACTACATAAAAAGTCCTACAATTTTGCCATTTTATGAATTTAATCAGCTCCATATATTTTTTATCACAATTGATGTTTAATGTTTCTACTTGTTCAGATAATTCCGAACTTCTGAGTTCCAGAAACTTTTAAATTTCGAAATTTTTGGCCAGTCTTACAGGTGTTCGGTTATCAGAGGTTACATTGTACATTTGACAATTTTTATGCTCCCCGAAAAATTTCAGGGGAGCATATAGTCGGCGCCTTGTCCGTCTGTCCGTCCGTCTGTCCGTCTGTCTGTCCGTTGTCTTGTCCGGAGCATAACTTGAAAACCCTTAGAGATAATTTGTTGAAACTTCATACAGTGGTAGAGGGCATCGAGGGGGAGTGCAGTGTCAAAGAACCATAACTTTATTTTGCCCGGTTTTTGAATTATCTCCCCTTATAGAAAATTCTTGTCCCGGGCATAACTCTAAAACTATAAGAGATATCAACATGAAACTTTGTAGGTGAATAGATCTCAATGGGTAGATGTGCAGTGCATAAGAACAATAACTCTTTTTATCCTAATTTTGGAGTTATTGCCCTTTGTTAATTTTAATACTTTGAACTTTGTCCGGAACATAACTTGAAAAACCTTGGAGATAATTTGTTGAAACGTCATACAGTGGTAGAGGGCATCGAGTGGGAGTGCAGTGTCAAAGAACCATAACTCTATTTTGCCCGGTTTTTGAATTATCTCCCTTATAGAAAAATCTTGTCCGGGGCATAACTCTAAAACTATAAGAGATATCAACATGAAACTTTGTAGGTGAATAGATCTCAATGGGTAGATGTGCAGTGCATAAGAACAATAACTCTTTTTAACTAATTTTGGAGTTATTGCCCTTTATTAATTTTAATACTTTGAACTTTGTCCGGAACATAACTTGAAAACCCTTGGAGATAATTTGTTGAAACTTCATACAGTGGTAGAGGGCATCGAGGGGGAGTGCAGTGTCAAAGAACCATAACTCTATTTTGCCCGGTTTTTTAATTATCTCCCCTTATAGAAAATCTTTTCCGGGGCATAACTCTAAAACTATAAGAGATATCAACATGAAACTTTGTAGGTGAATAGATCTCAATGGGTAGATGTACAGTGCATAAGAACAATAACTCTTTTTATCCTAATTTTGGAGTTATTGCCCTTTGTTAATTTTAATACTTTGAACTTTGTCCGGAACATAACTTGAAAACCCTTGGAGATAATTTGTTGAAACGTCATACAGTGGTAGAGGGCATCGAGGGGGAGTGCAGTGTCAAAGAACCATAACTCTATTTTGCCCGGTTTTTTGAATTATCTCCCCTTATAGAAAAATCTTGTCCGGGGCATAACTCTAAAACTATAAGAGATATCAACATGAAACTTTGTAGGTGAATAGATCTCAATGCGTAGATGTGCAGTGCATAAGAACAATAACTCTTTTTGTCCTAATTTTGGAGTTATTGCCCTTTGTTTATTTTAATACTTTGAACTTGAACTTTGTCCGGAACATAACTTGAAAACCCTTGGAGATAATTTGCTGAAACTTCATACAGTGGTAGAGGGCATTGAGGGGGAGTGCAGTGTCAAAGAACCATAACTCTATTTTGCCTGGTTTTTGAATTATCTCCCCTTATAGAAAAATCTTGTCCGGGGCATAACTCTAAAACTATGAGATAGCAACATGAAACATTGTAGGTAGATAGATCTCATTGAGTAGAGGTGCAGTGCAAAAGAACCATAACTCTGTTAAGCCTTATATTTGAATAATCTCCCCTTTTAGAAAAATCTTGTCCAGGACATAGCTGTAAAACTATAAGAGATATCAACATGAAACTTTGTAGGTAGATAAATCTCAATGGGTAGATGTGCAGTGCACAAGAATCATAACTCTACCTTTCCTAATTCTGGAGTTATTGCCCTTTGTTTATTTTTACTTTTTGAATTGTCCAGGACATAACTCGGAAATCATAAGAGATTTCATCAAGAAACTTTGTAGGTTGATAGATCACATTGATAAGATGTGCAGTGCAAAGAACTGTAACTCTGCCTTGCCTAATTTTGGAATTATTGCACTTTGAACTTTTTCCACCGACATAACTCTGAAACTACAAGAGGTGTACTTTCCTGTGTCCAAAACCTATTCGGGGAGCATCACCCGGCTCAAACCGGGCTCTTGTTGTATTTTGAGGACTTGCAACATAAATATTGTATCAAGTCAAAATTTTAGCATGTGCTAGCTTGATGTGGAGACACAATTTAAGTATTGCGTGGAGACATGGTTTTGGTATTGTGCTGAGACACAACTTGTTCTATTTTGGTTTAAACCAATAACTTGCGAAATAAAATATGTATTTATTTGTTTAAAATCTTGTGAAGTTTGTTAATATTAAAACCTATTTAAATTTTCAGGAACAGCAAAGTATCAGCATTGCAAAAGCAGGGATAGTATGCAGGTAAGATATTATATCTCTGTTACTTTTAATTTTTTTAAAAAGAATTGATGTATGGTGCAGGAACTGTTAGGGCTGGGGCGAGTATTCGAGTACTCGGATAATCACGAATCAAAATGAAAAACCGAGTACGAATATTCGTCAGTCCAGAGATCGTGGATTGCAATTTTATTTGTTTATTATACATTCGCTGTTTTTTACACTTTAAATGTAAAAAAAAAATCAATTTGCGTATGAATTATGCAACGATTACCTAAATACAATTTGCTCTTTAAAGACAGGAAGTAAACAAACATGCACCATGATGCTGAGCTAGGAAGTCATTAGTTTCGAAAAAGGAATCACTTTATCTTTATTGAGCACTTGTTTTTAAATGAAAATAAATAAATATTTTTAGTCGCTATGTATAGATCTATAATGACGTGACATGTATTGAAGACTGTTTTATTTTTAGGAAAAACGCAAGTTAATACGTCAGTGTGACATTACAGTACATGTATTGGCTGAAAAAGAGTCGCGCCAATATAAAAATCCCACCAGCAAAATTTACTTCCAATTTTTGGAAATACTTGTCTTTTCATGTGATTAGACAAGTTTGTTGTACCACCTCTATAAGTCAATTTGCCATGGCATGTTTTACAAACTGCTTTTTCCTCAATTTCATTGAAAGAAAATTTTGCTGGTGGAATTTTATATTGGGGCGACTCTTTTTCAACCTAGTTTATATTTGCATTGCATATAATATGTTTAATGAATAATTAAATTAATGTTTAGTATTGTTTTAAGAAAAATTAACATGTTTTCAAAACTAATGTTCATGTTTTTATGGGTGTCTGGATAACCAAAAGATTTGTGGTTAAATTTGTGAATCGCACGTGCTGAATTGTGGATCAGATCGGATCATCACTTACCCGACGATCCACACCCCTAGGAACTGTTCTGGTCATTTGAAAACTTTACAGTTTTTACTGCAGGAGTGAAACCACAGATACCATTTTGTGCCTTCTTTCATGCACCATATATTTTTTATATTTCAGTTTACCAGCGAGGACTTCGATCCTAGCAGCTGCTAACCCAGTAGGAGGGCATTATAACAAGGCTAAAACTGTTGCGGAAAATCTCAAGTAAGTCACTGCATATGTTTTATCCTGCTACTGTCTATATTATCTGCTGGATAAATATAACTTTCTTTAGCCATTTACGTCACATGGTTAGCCTATGATGACATCACATGGTAAGCAGCAAAACAAAACTATGTATATAGAGGCTGTATTATCAATGAAGTGATTTAAATAATTTTAAAACATTGTTAAAGTAGACAAAAGAAGGATAAATCAAATTAATTGCTAAAGCCCCCCAAGATACACTTTCTCGCTCACCGGATAAACTTTCTCCATCCCAACATCAACCATGAATTCTCTATATCTGAAACCATTATAATAGAGATTTAAGATATTCATGCAAAAACATTTTGATGTAAAACAGTGATACAGAAGTATATAGTGCCTTTATGAGAAATTTGTTTAAAATCTGCTTGGGCTCTCTTATAGCTATATGTGTAATGTCTTTGATATTGAACAAGCTACATGCCTGCAAGTCAAAAATCTTCAGAGAGATCTTTGCAGATTCACATATTACATGTATGCCCATATGCAACTGGTAGCTGAACAAATTCTAATGGTGATTACAAAATTCAAAGAAAATAAATAGGGGGGATATGAAAGTTGGCCAAATGGGCAAATAAATGCAATGCTTTGACCAACTGGGCAAATAAATGTGATGCTTTGGCCAACTGGGCAAAAAAAAAATGTGATGCTTTGGCCAACTGGGCAAAAAAATGTGATGATTGGGCCAACTTGGCAAATGTAGGCAATGCTTTGGCCAACTGGGCAAGTGAATGTGATGCTTTGGCCAACTCAGCAAAAAAATGTGATGCTTTGGCCAATTGGGGAAATAAATGAAATGCTTTGGCCAACTGGGCAAAAATAAAAATGTGATGCTTTGGCCAACTGGGCAATAAATGTGCTGCTTTGGCCAACTGGGCAAATAAATGTGATGCTTTGGCCAACTGGGCAAGTAAATGCAATGCTTTAGTCAACTGGACAAATAAATGTGATGCTTTGACCAACTGGGCAAAGTCTTTGAAAGAGAATAAACTGACTGGCAGTTAACTTAGCAATGCAATTTTGAGTTTTGACATCAAACTTATCAATCAAACATTGGAAACTGACTATTTGATTAATTTTGGATAAAAGATGTAGGAAATTAGTAAGGTAAACAGCTTGTTGAAAATTGTTGTTGGAAGTGATAACTTTCTTTCAGGATGGGTTCAGCTTTGTTGTCAAGGTTTGATTTGGTCTTTATCCTGCTTGATAAACCAGATGAGGTCAGTATGATATTTAACCTTTGACCTACTCAATTTCTGTAATGGATTTGACCTTATTTGAATTTGGAACAGTCCATTTGAAAATTTAGGGAGTTTGTTATCATAATACAAAATTTAGCAAGGAACACTACAGAGCCTGGTCAGACTGCATGGATTTGCAGGTTGGCCCGGCCCTATACTGGTGGCAAAGGCAAATCACTTTCATTGTCATCATATTAACGGTTACATATATTATTATGTCTCACATGACTTTGCTTGTTGTTTAAATTGAAGTTTAAGTAGGGCATCCATGGGTAAGGTCGTTACTTGAAACCACTTGCCCCTCACAGCTGTGGGTTCGAATCCTGACTTGGACTTTTGATTCTTTCATGTGTTGAAGCTATCCTGCTAACTTACAGAATATCAGCAGTTCTTTTCAGGTGCCCCTTTGTGCCTGATATAATGCACAGTTAAGCTGAAAAGTGGCCCTATGACCTGTGATGGTGTGACATAAAACTGGACCAAAAACACAATGAAATTATTCAAAAATCATTATTCTGTAATATCACCAGGGACTTCATTTTTAGCTCGACTTTTTTTTTTTTGAAAAAAAAAGTAGAGGTATTGTTATAGTCAGGTCGGCGTTGCCGTTGCCGTCCACGTTGCCGTTGCCCTTGCCGTCCGAAAACTTGTACCTGGATCATAACTTTTTTATTTCTTGGTGTATTGTCTTCATACTTGGCCACAACAACCCTTGGGACAAGACCTTTCAGTAGACCACACTAACCTTGACCTTCATCCATAAATGACCTTGACCTTCAAGGTTAAAAGTCCAATTTTTGCTTGTTCATGCTGTTATTTGCTGTTACTTTGTTATTTTTGAATGGATTTGTCTTCAAACTTGAACATAATAATCTTCAAGGATATCCCTTAAAAATAACCAGTCAGACCTTGACATTCACTCATCAATGACCTTGACTTTGAAGGTCAAATTATTGAAATTTTCATTTTTTGGCTATTATTGGCTGTAACTTTGTTATTTTTGAATGGATTGTCTTCAAACTTGAACATAATAATCTTCAAAGATAACTGTTAAAAATATACCGAAAGACCTTGACCTTCACTCATTAATGACATTGCCTTTGAAGGTCAAATTATTGAAATTTTCATTGTTTTGGCAGTAACTGACTGTAACTTTGCTATTTTTGAAGGGATAAACTTCATATTATAACAGAACATTCTTAACCCATTACTTCATATACACGCCTTTTAACGCCTTTTTCACCCCCCCCCCCCCCTTTTTGTTGTCTCAAATGATGAAAAAATGCCTTATTTAGGCCCCAAACACTTGTTTTTGTTTGAGAAATGTTGTTAAAAAAAGTGACCTCTTTTTCGGCGCGGCCCCCCAACCAAATGATACATCAGGGGGTTGCCAGAAGGGGGATGTGCCCCCTTCTGTTTGGGGGGGTTTGAAGGGGGGCGGAGTCCCCCTCATCGCCAAGAAAATTTTGGACTTGTGAGAGGCTGTAAATGACCCCAGATTGATCATAAGGTAACGTGTAACCAACGCTGAAAAGCATTTGACTCTATCTCAATCCATTGAGAAGTTGCAGCACTTTGAAATCAATTTTGATGGAAAAAATCAATGCAAAATAGTGATTTTTGGCAATTTTGAGATGTCCCCTCGTTGCCATGGTAACAGAAAATTTAAGCCTGAGCATGTTGTTGCAAGGGCAATGGTCCAGTCAACATTTGTGCCAAGTTTGATTAGTGTTGGAGCAGTTTTTTATAGTATTATAGCAATTTGAACTTGTAACGGGAGACTTTTCAATGAAAACAGCCATTTTTCACAAAATGCTCATGAAGCAATGGGTTAAGGACCAGACCTTGTTGTTTATCAAACCCAAATTTGCTTGGGCTCTTTAATGACCTTGACCTTGAAGGTTATATTACTGAATTTTCTCAGATTGTGCATTTATTGGTGTGTGTGTGTATGTATAGTATATGTATTATATATATATATATATAAATGTGTGTGTGTGTATATATATACATATATGCAGGTATATATATATATAAATATATATATATGCATGTATATATATATATATATATACATATATAGATATATATATATATCAAATATATATATCAAATATATATACATGTATATAATTGCGTCATTTTTTCTATTTTTAGAAATTGCGTCATTGTTGCTATTTTTAGAATTTGCGTCATTTTTTTCTATTTTTAGAAATTGCGTCATTTTTGTTCTATTTTTAGAAATTGCGTCATTGTTTCTATTTTTAGAAATTGCGTCATTGTTGCTATTTTTAGAAATTGCGTCATTTTTTTCTATTTTTAGAAATTGCGTCATTGTTTCTATTTTTTGAAATTGCGTCATGTTTTTCTATTTTTAGAAATTGCGTCATTTTTTTCTATTTTTAGAAATTGCGTCATGTTTTTCTATTTTTAGAAATTGCGTCATTTTTTCTATTTTTAGAAATTACGTCATTTATTTCTATTTTTAGAAATTGCGTCATTGTTGCTATTTTTAGAAATTGTCTATTTTTAGAAATTGCGTCATTTTTTCTATTTTTAGAAATTGCGGCATTGTTGCTATTTTTAGAATTTGCGTCATTTTTTTCTATTTTTAGAAATTGCGTCATTGTTGCTATTTTTAGAAATTGCGTCATTTTTTTCTATTTTTAGAAATTGCGTCATTTTTTCTATTTTTAGAAATTGTGTCATTGTTGCTATTTTTAGAAATTGCGTCATTTTTTTTATTTTTAGAAATTGCGTCATTTTTTTCCTATTTTTAGAAATTGCGTCATTTTTTCTATTTTTAGAAATTGCATCTTTTTTTCTATTTTTAGAAATTGCGTCATTGTTGCTTTTTTATACGCCCGTTTAAAAAACGGGACGTATTATGGGAACGCCCCTGGCGGTCGGGCGGGCGTCGTCCAATTTTGTCCGGAGCATATCTCCTACATGTATGGAGGGATTTTAATGAAACTTCATATAAATGTTCACCACTATGAGGAGCAGTGTCGCGCACATGAACCAGGTCTCTAGGTCAAAGGTCAAGGTCACACTTAGAGCTCATTGAAAAATGCTTGTCCGGAGCAAAACTTCCACATGTATAGAGGGATTTCAATATTATTTGGCACAAATGTTCACCATTGTGAGGCGGAGTGTCGCGTGCAAGATTCAGGTCCTTGCGGCCAAGGTCAAGGTCACACATAGAGGTCAAAGTTCAGATAAAAATATGAAGATGTGTATATGGACCATTTAGTCATCATTTATTGAGGGATTGTAACACAAATGGTCATTATCAAGACTATGGCTGTGATACATATAATTTAGGTCAATATATACAAGGTCAAGGTCACTAAAGATGATGAAATATCCAGATTTTGTAAATAGAATTTAATCAAAGGGAGACAACAAAGTTATTACTTTGTTCATAAATGACTTACACAATCACTCCCCTTGATCTATTTTCTAAAAATATAATTTAATCAAAGGGCATAAAATAATCCTCTTTCTTGGACTTGAGTATGTTGTAAAGAATGTAACATTTTCATGTTTCATTCATTGGTCAAGATACTTAACTGTGATAACTATGGTGTTCTGTAGACTTGGTATTTGTTCATAAAGATCATACAGTAATTACCTTATCAAATGTAAATACTTTCTCATAGAAATTTAATTATATTTTAATTTTCAAGTAAATATCAGTTCAGCTCATTCAAAGATTAAGAATTGTAATGAAATGTATTTCCCTAGAATAAAATCTTTAAATCAGAATTTTTTAGTTATTAAATTACATGTACTTTTTATACGCCCGTTTAAAAAAAGATAAAAATATGAAGATGTGTATAGGGACGATTTAATCATCATTTATTGAGGGATTGTAACACAAATGGTCATTATAATGACTACGGCTGTGACACATGTACTTTAGGTCAATATATGCAAGGTCAAGGTCACTAAAGATGGTGAAATATCCAGATTTTGTCTGGGAGCATATCTCCTACATGTATGGAAGAATTTTTATAATACTTTTATGGAAATGCTCACCACCATGATATGTATTGCTCCATGCATGATCCAGGTCTCCAGGTCAAAGGTCAAGGTCACACTTAGAGCTCATTGAAAAACGCTTGTCCGGAGCAAAACTTCTACATTCATAGGGGGTTTTCAATATAACTTGGCACAAATGTTCACCATTGTGAGGCTGAGTGTCGCATGCAAAATTCAGATCCTGCGACCAAAGTCAAGGTCACACATAGAGGTCAAAGTTCAGATAAAAATTTGAAGATGGTTATAGGGACCATTTAGTCATCATTTATTGATGGATTGTAGCACAAAATGGTAACTATCATGACTACAGGTGTTACACATTTAATTTAGGTTAATATTTTGCAAGGTCAAGGTCACTGGAGATGATTAAATATCCAGATGTTGTCCGGAGCATATTTTCTACATGCATGGAGGAATTTTAATGTTACTTTTATAGAATTGTTCACCACCATGAGACGTAGTGCCCTGCACATAAACCAAGTCTCTAGGTCAAAGGTGAAGGTCACAGTTAGAGCTCATAGAAAAACACACTTGTATGGAGCAAAACTTCTACATGCATAGAGGGATTTCAATATAATTTGGCACAAATGTTCATCATTGTGAGGCTGAGTGCCGTGCATAAAATTCAGGTCCCTGCGACCAAGGTCAAGGTCACACATTCTGTGCATATCTTCCCTATTGATTTGTTTTAAGGTTCATTTAACAACACAGTGCCAAGAATAAAAACTTGCTTGCTAGATAACACTTATCCATAATGCCCCCATCTCCATCTAAAGCTTTTTCGTAAACGGGCGTATTTTGTGACTACGGCACCCTTGTTAGAAATTGCGTCATTTTTTTTTCTATTTTTAGAAATTGCGTCATTGTTTCTATTTTTTAGAAATTGCGTCATTTTTTTCTATTTTTAGAAATTGCGTCATTTTTTCTATTTTTAGAAATTACGTCATTTTTTTCTATTTTTAGAAATTGCGTCATTGTTGCTATTTTTAGAAATTGCGTCATTATTGCTATTTTTAGAAATTGCGTACTGTTGCTATTTTTAGAAATATGCTTAATGTTTCTATTCATATATATACAAAATATATAAACAAAACTAATGTGACAAGACCAACTAAATTTATAAAAAGGAAACATCAATATATGTTCAAACCTTTCTATGTTTGCGTTTAGAAAAAGTAAAAAGTCGAGCGTTGCCCCCGCCCGGCGGTGGCTCTTGTTATCTGTTGGTCATAAAATAGATTGAAATGACACTCCTGTCACATGATGGTGCACATTTACCTTTATTTTATGATTTATGCTTGAAAATACTAAAATACCACTTGGCCAAATTATTTATAAATTGGTTTTGAAGAAATTATATTGAAATGTTTCGCTGTTAAAGTGAAATTATCAAAGTCTAGGCATTAAATACTGATGAATATACATAGACAAAGATATACACATAGATATATACATAGGATATCTGGTTATTTAAGTGTCTGGTTATTTATTCTGTGGCCGAGTGGTTGAGGTCATTGACTTGAAACCACTTTCTCCTCACTGCAGTGGCTTTGAATCTCTGCCAGTGACTTTAAATTCTTTCATGTGAGAAATTAATCAAGCTAGGTTACTGATTGTCAACGATTTTTCTCTGGTGTCTGTGCCTAAAATAATGCACGGAGGGGCACCTGACATATTCCTTCACCAGTAAAGCTGAAAAGTCGCCATAAGACTTGCAGTGTTTGTGAGACATAAAAACCGACCAAGAAAAAGAATGATATTTAAAATGTTTTATTACATTACAGGAGATGGACAGTATGCTGTCTGAGCATGTGATGTCACTTCATGCTAAACAAAACAGGTGGGGAAAAATTTTTACAACTGTATTTATTACAATATTTGTAAGGTTTCTTGTCTTGGGTTTTAGCTTTCTTGATAAATAATTATTCTTATTCTATGTTGTATTTTTTATGACATTTACCAGAGTGTTTAGATTTTTGTGCCCCCACTTTAGAGGGGGTGGGGGGCATTTAGATTTACCATTATCCATTCATCAATCTGTCCGTCCATACTCATTTTGTCAAAAAGTATTTGACCTAGAGTCATGAAACTTTACAGGAATGTTGATCAGCATGTGTAGTTGTGCACCTGGGTATTTTCGTGGTGGATTTATTTAGTATTTGTAGAGTTATTGCCCTTGACTCAGTAAAAATTTGCAATTTTCAACTTGTGTCACATGTAGCTCAAAAAGTATTTGACTAGAGTCATGAAACTTTACAGGAATGTTGATCAGCATGTGTAGTTGTGCACCTGGGTATTTTCATGTAGATTTATTTAGTATTTGTAGAGTTATTGCCCTTGACTTAGTAAAAATTTGCAATTTTCAACTTGTGTCACATGTAGCTCAAAAAGTATTTGACAGAGTCATGAAACTTTGCAGGGATGTTGATCAGCATGTGAAGTTTTGCATCTGGGGTTTCACTAGTGGATTTATTTTGTTTTTTTGTTTTGCCCTTGACTTGATAAAAATTTGCACTTTTCAATTTGTGTTGTGTGTATTTAATCTAGAGTCATGAAACTTAAAAGGGATGTTGATCAGCATATGTAGTTGTGCACCTTGGATTTCGCTTGTGGATTTATCCAGTATTTGTAGAGTTATTGCCCTTGACTTAGTAAAAACAGTTTCATTATGTTGTGTTATTTGTTTCTTTAGTTAGAATCAGTCAACTTTGCAGGAATAATGATCAACGTCACTGTGAAGCAATGCACCTTGGATTTTGTTCGTGTTTTTTTATCAGTTTTGTTATGAGTTATTGCCCTTGACTTAGTATAAATTTGCTATTTTCAACTAGTTTATGCATAGCTCAAAAAGTATTTGACCTGTAGGCCTGAAAGTTTACAAGAATGTTGGTCAGTATGTTTACTTATGCGGTTTGCTTATGGATATATTATAGATACTTTTTAGCTCACCTGAGCTTGCTCAGGGTGAGCTTTTAGGATCGGTGAATGTCCGTCGTCCGTCGTCCGTCGTCCGTCCGGCCGTCCACAATTACTTGTGAACACTCTAGCGGTCGCATTTTTGCCTCAATCATCATCAAACTTGGTCAGGATGCTTATCTAGTTGAAAGCTCGGATGAGTTCGAACATGGGTCATCTCGGATGAAAAACTAGGTCACAAGAGCTAAAAATAGAAAAACCTTGTGAACACTCTAGAGGTCACATTTTTGACCCCATCATCATCAAACTTGGTCAGGATGTTTGTCTAGGTGATAGCTTGGATGAGTTCGAACATGGGTCATCTCGGATGAAAAAGTAGGTCACAGGAGCTATAAATAGAAAAACCTTGTGAACACTCTAGTGGTCACATTTTTGAACCAATCATCATCAAACTTGGTCAGAATGCTTGTCTAGTCAATTGCTTGGATGAGTTCGAACATGGGTCATCTCTGATGAAAAACTAGGTCACAGGAGCTAAAAATAGAAAAAACCTTGTGAACACTCTAGTGGTCACATTTTTGACCCAATCATCATCAAACTTTGTCAGGATGCTTGTTTAGATAATAGCTCGGATGAGTTCGAATATGGGTCATCTCGGATGAAAAACTAGGTCACCGGAGCTATAAATAGAAAAACCTTGTGAACACTCTAGTGGTCACATTTTTGCATCAATCATCATCAAACTTGGTCAGGATGCTTATCTAGTTGATTGCTTGGATGAGTTCGAACATGGGTCATCTCGGATGAAAAAGTAGGTCACCAGAGCTAAAAATAGAAAAACCTTGTTAACACTTTAGCGGTCACATTTTTGCATCAATCATCATCAAACTTGATCAAGATGCTTGTCTAGGTGATAGCTCGGATGAGTTCGAACATGGGTCATCTCGGATGAAAAACTAGGTCACAGGAGCTAAAAATAGAAAAACCTTGTTAACACTCTAGTGGTCACAATTTTGACTCAATTGTCATCAAACTTGGTCAGGAAACTTTTCTAGGTCATTGCTGGGAATAAATCGAACATGGGACATTTCGGATGAAAAACTAGGTCACAGGAGCTAAAAATAGAAAAAATCTTGTTAACACTCTAGTGGCTACTGTTGTGATCCAAATATTCTGTTAATTGGTCTGAAAGTTTGTTTTGATGATTTCTAAGTCAAGATCGAACATGGGTCATCTTGGATGAAAAAACTAGGTCACACCGCCCAAATATGGAAAAACCTTGTTAACATTCTAGTGGTCACATTTTCGACTCAATTATCATCAAACTTGGTCAGGATGTTTGTCTAGGTAATTGCTTGGATGAGTTCGAAATCGCATGTGAAACTAGGTCACCGGAGCTAAAAATAGAAAAATCTTGTTAACACTCTAGTTGCTACTATTTTGATCCAAGTATCCTGGAAATTGGTCTGAAAGTTTGTTTTGATGATTTCTAGGTCAAGTTTGAATATGTGTCACCTGGGTAAAAAACTAGGTCGCACTGCTCAAATATGGATAATCCTTGTTAACACTGTAGTGGTCACATTTTTGACTCACCTGTCATGAGACTTGGTCAGAATGCTTGTCTAGGTAATTGTTTGGATGAGTTTGATAATTCAGGTGAGCGATCTAGGGCCATCATGGCCCTCTTGTTCCCTTTACTTGGTAAAAGATTTTTAGTTTTCAACTTGTGGCACATGTAGCGCAAAAAATATTTGACGTAGAGTCATAAGATTGACCAAACAGTGGAGTATGGGGGCACCCATGTCCTATGGACATATTTCTAGTTGCTTTTAGCTCCCCTGGATCAAGGTAGCCTATACATCTCTTGAAAATGGAAATTGAATGTTGTTTACGTCTTTAGAAAGATATTTGAGAAATTTTGATCCTTTGATAATCTATTAGTAATATTTTCTCTGCAATTTTATGTTATCTTACATCCTTATGCCCCCTTAGCTCAAAAAGAAGAGCATCAAATTTGTTAATTCGGGGTCCCTGGTGTGATCCTTGAGAGACGGGGCAAAAAGTTCTCCATGACAACTTTATTTTGGAAATTATGACTTAGAGCCTTTTGTCTTTCACGGCATATTCATAAATCATGTGGGATTAGCAGTTAGTCACTGGCGGGACAATTGGTAATTAATAGTTTGTTATCAAGGAAAGTTGTTAAGGTGGGCCTACTGTCGAGAAATGCCAATGTGCTTATATCTGCATAAAAAACAAACAAACAAACAAATTTTCCGTTATTGATTTCCTGCAAGGATTAAAAAAATTCACTTTTCACTTTATTTCAGAATGAGTGTCACAGGAGCAACAGTAAGAAATTTTTATAAAATTTTCACTTTAAATATCAAGTTTATTCAAGTAAAGCAAACATTAAAATTATATTTTACAGATTCATACTAACTTTTATGAAAAATTTTGGAAATGTACTTAAAAGTAAAAAATTGTGAGTTGAACAAAGCAACTGATTTACACATTGCAATTGGCATGCATGCAAATTACCAAAAACAGACCAAAATTTGGAAAAATATATATGGCTGTGTTAGTCATACAGTAGAAATATTGTGATCAGTATTTTATCGCATATAACATGTTAATTATTATTCAAATCTTGATGCCTTATACTTTTCCTAAAATCTTAGTAAATTTTCTCAAGTTTGATTTCCTTGATATTTGGCCTGAAATATTTGGCCTTATCTAGGGGCAAGCAGCTTTAAAGGTTAGAATCTTATTCTATTAAATTCACTTGTTATATTCTTGTATCAAAGGAAATAATCCTGAATCTAGAGGAAAATGGTGGCCATTTTCAAGTTGAATCTAAATTCGCGGGGCGGAGGAATTTGTTTTCAAAAATACTATAAACACAAAAAAACCCTGTCTACAAAAATCGCCTTTCAAATTTTGTAATTTTGACTGTTTTTAGGCGTTTTCAAGATAAATAGAAAAACATATTTGACTATCTTTGGATATCAATTTTATCAGGCTTGACTGATATGGGCAAAAAGGGGCCAGCAAGCATTGCCCTAGGCCTTCCAGCCCATATCAGCCGAGCCTGGTGAAATCGATATCAAAAGACAGTAGCATGTTGTTCTCTATTAACTGTAATTGCAGAAAACTGGCGTAAAATTCAGGGCCTCTGATTTTGTTAAAAACTTACATGATTTATTACTGATATTGTATCTAAACATATTAATGACATTTTTTTCTGAAAAGTCCTAACATTTCAGAATAACCAGTTCATTATGACATTGTATTGAATTATTTCTAGAGTTCGATTATGAATGATTCAATATTACTTTGGGAGTCGGACAAACCTTTGAGTGAAAGATTGAAAATAACCAGGAATCAGCCTTTTGATCCAATTCCTGCTCAGCTTTTAAGAAAGGTAGGTTGAAATACAAACAATTTCAAAAGGTATCAACATGAAACTTGGAATATTTGCTTATTATGACGACAAGGTGCAGTTGTTAGACATGGGCCATAATTCTGAAAGGAATATTTTTGGAGTTATGCCCCTTTTTCACTTAGAATTTTTGATAGAACAGCTATAACACTGCATGTGGTGCCCTTTAGTATTGCATTGAACTGACACTCCCCAATTTCCTCTTTTTATTAAACATGTCTAAATTTATACAGGATTTAATTTTATGTTTTTTTACTGACATTCCTTTACTATTAAAGTGCTTTATTTCAAACCACCTGGACCTTTATTTTTTTTAAATCTTTAGTATATAGGTTATGCTAGGAAATATGTTCATCCAAAGATAGGAACAGATGCTGCGAAGGCCATACAAGGTTTCTACCTGGAGCTCCGCAAACAGCACCAGACTCAGGACAGTACTCCGATTACTACCAGGCAGCTGGAGTCTATGATACGGCTAACTGAGGCTCGAGCCAGGCTTGAGCTACGAGAGATGGCAACTAAAGAAGACGCTGAGGATGTGAT